GGCACAGACCAGCGTCCCCCAATGATGCACCGCCCTGGCGGGGGGCTCCGTGGGTTAGAGCGTCCTCCTCTGAGGCCAGGATTACAACGGGACCTCGCTGAGGGCACAGACCAGCGTCCCCCAATGATGCACCGGTAAATGGACCCGCAAATCAATATTTCTCTCTCTTTCTCTTCCTCTCTCAAATCAATTAAAAAATTTTTTTTAAGAGGACAGGAAGCTTAGAGAAATGGAGGGAGGGACTTCAGCCCGAGGTTTCAGAGCTGGGAGGAGGAGGAGAGGTGGCATTGAAAACTCAGAACAGCCCTAGCCGGTGTTGCTCAGTGGATAGAGCATGGGCCTGTGGATAGAGGGGCCCCAGGTTGGATTCCAGTCAAGAGCACATGCCCAGGTTGTGGGCTGAATCCCCAGTGGGGGACATGTGGGAGGCGCTGAGGGCACAGACCAGCGTCCCCCAATGATGCACCGGTAAATGGACCCGCAAATCAATGTTTCTCTCTCTTTCTCTTCCTCTCTCAAATCAATTAAAAAAATTTTTTTTAAGAGGACATGAAGCTTAGAGAAGTGGAGGGAGGGACTTCACCCCGAGGTTTCAGAGCTGGGAGGAGGCGGAGAGGTGGCATTGAAAACTCAAAAACAGCCCTAGCCGGTGTGGCTCAGTGGATAGAGCACCGGCCGGTGGACTGAAGGGTCCCGGGTTCGATTCTAAGTCAAGGGCACGTCCCTGGGTTGCAGGCTTGATCCATCCCCGGGCCCTGGTCAGGGCGCAGGTGTGAGGCAACCAATCGATGTGTCTCTCTCACCTCGATGTTTGTCTCTGTCTCTCCCCTTCCCCTCCCACTCTCTCTGAAAGTAAAAAATAATAAAATTTAAAAAGCAACGGAGAAAATAGCCTCGGGTGAGGATTAACAACAATAACAAAACAAAAAAACACCCATAAAAACCATTTCTGTGATTGTTCTCATCTGGAATGGAAAATAAAAAAGGAAAAAGAAGGGGAACCAAACCACAGCTGAGGGTATAGGAAATCCCTGGTCTTTATATCAAATCAAAACATCATTTTTTCCACGGGGAAGCTCGCGGCCCGCCCCATCCAATGGGGGCTGTCAGCAATCTCCTGCCACCCTTAGCTCTGCAGGCCGCCCGCTGACACCCAAACCCAGCCCTCGGACGCTGCTGCTGTGTGACGCCGGGCCAGGCACCCCCCCTTCTCTGAGCGAGCCTGGGCCACCACAGCTGTAAAGCAGACAGGATGACAGGGGTCTCCCCCTGGGTGGGATGATGTGAGGATCACGGGACTTTGTCCATCTGCAGGGCCCTCCTGGCTCAGAATAAGTGCATCGCGAGAGTACCTTGCGACCACCCCTTGCACCCGGGCCTTCTGCTCCCTGTTTTTCTGCTGAGTCGACAGAGGTTTAGGGTTGGGGAAGTGGGTTCCGGGTCCCACAGAAAGGAAATAGCAGCCCAGGTGTGTTTGCGGTCAGAAACGAAGACCTGGGGAGAATGCTGGTGATGGGGCCAAAGGAGGGCGGGGTGCGGGGCCAGCTAGGGCCGGGCAGGGAGAAGCAGTGGCCGAGAGCTGCCCGGGGGAGGCATCGGAGCCAGGGGCTGGAGGCAGTTGAGGTGGTCGGTCTGGACTCTGGAGCCCCACGGAGCTGGCTTTGTTATCTTGGGCGAGTCGCCTCCTCTCTCTGAGGCCTGTCTGCTTCCTTGTCTGGGGCAGGGCACAGTGACCCCAGGTGGGGCTGCCCTGAGCACATACCGAGCGTTCACTGTGCGCCTGCCGGGCACCGTGCTAAGTTCATGGCCCACAGCGTGCCTATCCTTGCAGAGCAGTATTGTGTGAGTATCATTCCATTTTCATGTCGAGGACGTGAAGTCAGAAAGGTTAAGTCGCTTGTTCAAAGCCACACAGCAAAGGGCACACACAGGCTGATCCAAACTGGGGCAGTTGGCTTTCTGAGTAATACTGGGCACCCAGAGAGAGGATTTTTAAAAATTGATTTTAGAGAGAGGAAGAGAGACAGACCAAGAGGAAGAGAGAGAGAAACATTGATGTGTGAGAGAAACGCTGGTTGTTTCGAATGCGCCCCAACTGGGGATGGAACCCACAACCTTTTGGGGTAGGGGACAATGCTGCAACCAACTAAGCTCCCGGCCAGGGCTATTTCTTCAAATACTTTCCAGCCTCGCATTCTTTCTGCTGAGTCTGGGACGCCAGTGAACAAATGTTAGGTCTTTTGTTCAAGTCCCACAAGTCCCTGAGACAGTTCATTTTTTCAGAAAAAAGGTTAGAATTGAAAATATTCCCGTGCTTAGCATGTTTTAACAGTAAATCTTGTTTTGTGCTTTTTTCATACTGGGCACCCAGAGAGAGGATTTATTAAAATTGATTTTAGAGAGAGGAAGAGAGGCAGACCGAGAGGGAGAGAGAGAAACATTGATGTGTGAGAGAAACGCTGGTTGTTTCGAATGCACCCCAACTGGGGATGGAACCCACAACCTAGGTGTGTGCCCTGCCTGGGCATCGAACCCGCCACCTTTGGGGGTAACAGGATGATGCTCCAACCAACTGAGCCACCTGGCCGGGGCAAGGATTTTGTCTTTGAAACTGTGAACTGAGATGCATTCGTGAGCGGAGGTCAGCATTTAAAAAAAAAAAAGAATTGAAAATATTCCCGTGCTTAGCGTGTTTTAACAGTAAATCTTGTTTTGTGCTTTTTTCCACTCACGCGGCTGACGGAGGGGGAGGAGGGGTGGTTGTTTGCACAGGTTGCAATGAAAATGTTTATTCGTCTCGATTGAGGTCAGAGCAGCCTGAGAAACATAGCTGAGGTGGTGAATCAAGACTGGTTCTCCCAGAGAAATAAATAGAGAGCGTGTGTGTGTGTGTGTGTGTGTGTAGGGTAGAGGGCAGTTCTCATGCATGTCCATCTGCCGCAATTTTAAGTTCTTCCGGCCTTACTTTTCCTCCAGCTTTCCTCAAAGGATTCGATCAAACCTATAAATCTTGTTCCTCCGTGATGGCTGGGGACGCACACCTGGCCCCCCCACCCTAGCACTACCAATGGGCCGGCAGCCTTGCAAATACAGTTTTTCCATGTCGTGTTCTTTGAGGTTTTCCTTGTGCCCTGGGAGGGAGCTGGTGATGTTTCATCCATGTTACAGAGAGGAAACAGAGAGATTCCCGTCACGGATCCCAAGACCTGCAGCTGGCAAAGGGTGGGGCCTCCGTTCAAACAGAGCCTTCGTCACAACCGACGGTTAGCACAAAGGCCGAGGCCATCACAGGCCCTCCCAGAGGTCTCATAAACAGCAGCCCGGCTGCAGGATGTGGGCAAAGGTTGGCAGGCATTTCCCTGAAACGTGAACCCTGAGTGTCCACGTGGCCAGGGGACACCTCGCTTACAGTGTATGCGCTGCCTGCCTCCAGTTCATGCCATTGGGCCAATCTTGTAACGTAAAACAGTTTGCTTTATCGTCATTATCTTACAAAAAAATGAGACATTATATTGTCTCTTATTCTCTTTTTTTAAATAACTATATATCACAATCACTATTTTTTTAATATATTTTATTGATTTTTTACAGAGAGGAATAGTTAGAAACATCCATCAGCTGCCTCCTGCACACCCCCCACTGGGGATGTGCCTGAAACCAAGGTCCATGCCCTTGACCGGAATCGAACCTGGGAACTTTCAGTCCACAGGCCGACGCCATATCCACTGAGCCACACCGGTCAGGGCTATATGGTCTCTTTCAAACCCAAATCATTCTCATCAGGACACACTGTGCCTCGATGCAGATTCCCAGGCCCGCCCTAAAAAAGGTTAGAATTCCCGGTTAGCATCTTCAGGCAAGCCCCTTCCTTAAAGATGAACTTGTATTTTGTGACTGCGTTTGGTATAAACACAAATATAATCTGGACATTTTAAAAATAAATAAAACAGGTCAGCATTTTCCCCGGCCTCCGGAAGCGTGTGGGCCCCAGGCTCCGTGCCGGCTGCCCCCACGGGCGCCGTCAGCCCTGGGTTCGGGGACCCCCATGTGTGAGGAGCTGGGGCTTTTGCCAAGTTTGGGGGGCACCCCCGAGGGTGGCTCATTGCCTGGCCTCTAGGCACCTCACGTGTTTGTTCTTACTGGAATCAGCACCGCGTGGTGGTCACGGGCAGACCCAGGGCTGAGTGAGATGTGACTCAAGCAGCTGCGACCTTGGGCCTCGCGGAGCCTCAGTTTTCCCCACCTGTAAAATGGGAGCAATCCCCGCACCATCATCCTGTCTCTATGGGAGGCATCCTGGGAGCGGCTGGCTAGACCCAGCGCTGGGGGGCTCCTACAGGGGTCCCCTCTGGACCGAGGCCCCACTGACCCCCCCTCCTCCCCCGCAGATGCCGGTGCTGAAGCAGCTGGGCCCCGCGCAGCCCAAGAAGCG